ATATATATATATATATATATATAAAGGTGTTTTAAACCCTGCCCACACTCTTGCAATATTCTAAACAATGTTTCTAAACTCTAAAGGCTCTAGAAGAGCACAGAATGTCATGATCTCCGCTCTCTCTGCCGCCCGCCAGCACTCTCGGCCACGCCCACTTCTCCGCTGCAGAGAGGACATCGACACTCTGCAGGAAGGAGCTTTTCCCTGCACATGTGGGCTCACAGCACACAGCAGGTGCTAAATAATAAAATACAATTTATTCTAAATAAAACAATCCATGCCAATCTTGGGGCTCATTCATCAATCAGCCAACTGTGACATGTCCCGTTTTACTTTGAAAAACTGCAAAAGAGCGAGTCCGCGAAAGCCGAATCGCGAAGTAGTGATGGACTACTGTATATTAAAAACAATACACCATTGAGCAAAAGATAAAGTTGTAAACCACCATCAGTAATTCATCCACGGTTTTGACAAATTGTCTGTCCACTAACCTGCACTGCCTGCACTTGTGGGCCTCTGAGAGCTTCCACCAGAGCCAACATTCCTGTGCAGAGAGGCCTGCGGAGGGGACAGCATCCCACTCTCACTCAGTGAGCCCGTGGCTGCTGCCAGGGTCTGGCTGCTCAGATTCCCTCCCGCCTGGTACATGGCATTAGGATTGGACACTGGCACTGCCACATGCATGGAGAAGTTCTGCTGAGGCAATGCTGTGGGCTAGAGCAAAGAGACACACATACACAAATATTTACACACAACACACTCAAAACCCAAGATCTGGTGTGTCTGAGGAGCTAGTGGCTGTCATGGCATCATATATAGAGCGCTCCTGTCGAGAATAACCTTTATTAATGTGATAAATTTACAGAAATATCAAGAAGACCACACTAAAACATAGCAAATACTGAATCTGTTGCATCATCTTAATAAATGACTTAAAAACATAAAATATTGATGCAAAAGTATGCATTGTGACTATGTGATATCCCAACTCTGGAAGAGAAAACCTAATTATTAATTTAGTAAATGCAGAACACACCTTCAGTAATACAAGGAAAACAAACCAAAAAGACCAAAAATCAATAGAAAATACAAATAATAACATGCAGATGATCACTTTAGCTCTGCAGCAGTCAGCACTTCAAAAGAACCTTGAAAAAGTCATAGAGATGTGTTTCTCAAAACAAAAATCTGAAATTTGTTTGATTTAAAACTACAAGAATACTGATTTGCATCAGCTTTCAAAGTGCTGACTGTGCAGAGGGTGAGATGGCATTTAGAGCATTTCATCACAACATCATTCAGTTAGGTGTGGTCATTAGTTTATAGAGGCAAATAAAAATGAAGACGCTGCTGTTTAGTAAGAACATGTTAGTGCACAATAGAAAACAAATACATAAAATACATTTTTCTTAGAAATGTTCAAGGATCAGCCACTTTATGGAAGAGTTGAAAGATGCAAAAATAATAACGTGATATTTTTCCGACATACAAGAAAGACGCAACATTAGCAAGAAACAATCAAAGAAGTTAACTGTTTATTATTTCCACAGCAGCAGGGTGGAAATCAAACACCCCACACCAAAGAATCTGCAGCTTTTTATAATAAATAATCACACTCCTTGCAAAGTATTTACTGCAAGTGTTTATGTGGTAAAATACTTAAGAGCCCTTGAATTTATGGTAACCATACCCATGATAATAGGGTGTAATCTTTTTAGCAGAAGCATGCAACATTGTATCTGTTAATGAAGAGATTTTTTTAAGGGTGTGCCAGAATAGCATCTGAAAAACAAATCAACACAAGAAACAAATGGAAACTTTTTAAAGGGGGCATTAATTATAATGTGATGTAGCTCTAAGAGAAGTTAAAGGTTGTGGAGGGTAACGTAAAAATAAAAAGTTAACAAAAAAAAAAAGAGGGGGAAGAGAAGAAAATCCTTTGTGCCATAAAGCCAAGCAATAACATTGCATTACAGTACTTACGATTTTATGATTTCTCATCATATTATCAAACTCCTCATTAATTTTTTTATACTTTTCTTCTGTGTGAGGAGTGAGGACATATGAGGCATCGGGGTCCGGGCTATCACAACCTCTGTGTTCTTTCTTGTTTAGCGCCTGTGGTGAACATCAACATAAAGACACAAATCAACACAAAATGGCAGGAGACGATAAAAAGTACTTACACCGCAGCGCTTGTACAATAAATCACTGTCTCCGCCTAGTTTGCCGTAATGGTCATCCATGAGGGGGCTGTGCCCAAAACAGTCATCGGGATCAGGACTAGCACAGTCATTATGGCCCTTGTTTCTCAATTTCTGAAATGAAATTGCACAGTTGAGAAGACACAGTATACAAAATGTGTATTTATTTATTTTTTACTGTGTTATCTCCTGCAAGACTGCGCAAAAATCCTAAAGGGATAGTCTGGTCATTTTTGATGTGATGTTTTGTCAAATAGCTATCAATAATTAGTAGTTTATCAGTTGTGACAGCTGTCATAAAAGCTCAGAGTATAGAGAAAAAGGCAAAAGTCTTCATCCAGGCTAGGCTACTGGCTAGCTGATAGCTTTATGGTTATAAAACAAACAGTTTAGAGAAAGAGTTGTAAAAGTTTGAAATTTAGCTGATTTTGCTAGTCATTTGCTTAGCCTACACAAAGAGGACTTTTCTCTAAACTTCGTATCTTGTGACTTATGTCACAGCTGATAATGTACCAACTATGGACAACCATTTGACTTTCATGCGCTTAAAGAGATGTATACACTGATCCAAAGGTAGTAAAACAAACACACAGCAAGAGTCATGAAGTGCACAAGTGTTGCAGACAGATGGAGTAACCCCCACAGAGGTCTTATCAACATTATTGAGCTGGTCAGGAATTGAATGAAGATGCAGACTTAGCCTGAAACCACAGAAGAAATTTAGCAAGCTGTCCAAGATACGTGCAACAGCCCACCAGCACAGTATCTAGATTAAACTTGTTTTAAAGATTAGACACAAAATGATTGATTTTAGTTTTTTGCACTTGGACGTTGCCCCTCCTCATTTCTAAACTTGCACCTAAAACATCTGTACATTTAATCATGTCCTCTTGCATGTTTTAGTTTTTCTCTTCTTCGTGACCGCCATCTTTACCAGTAGTCTAATTTCCTTTCTCTGTGTGTGCATTTTTCATTATATTTCAGTTATTATAAGCCAGGGGTATTCAATTAAAACTCACTGAGGTCCACTTACTAAAATGTCCTCAAAGTAAAAGGTCCAAACTAAAGTCCAACTTTTGTGTTTTATGGTCTTGCCTACCTGTATTCACAGTTTCACTGTTAACAAACTGCACTTTATAGTAAACAACTCGCTCTTTTACCATATTTAAAAGTAGTGCCAGACAAATAAATTTAAGCCCTTTATTTCAGATTAAAACTGAAACCTCAGAATAAAATACATCTTAAATGCGCAAACAGAGCCTAATAAGCATTTTTCTCTTGAAGAGGTCCAAGAATTGAAGGTTTAGACTTGAAGTAAAAAAAGTTAACATCTTTAGAAAACAGAAGACAATAAAAAGTGTCTCTTTTAGTTAAAACAAGTGTAAATAAAGCAAGTAAACAGTTTTCTTTTTTTTCTTAAAGAGGCACCAACCTATAAAAAATTAAGTTGTCAAGTAAAACGTCAGCGTCTTCAGAAAACAATAAATAAAAATGTCTCTTTTTGGAAAAAAAACTGAAAACGTTGGTTACGTACTGTAACCCCAGATTCTATGAATATAGGCGTAGCCCTTTAAGGCTGTCGCTGATGGGTTTATCCCGTTATGCGCAAGCATCGTACTGAAAAAATTAGTCCACGCCCACCTGCTGTGTGGGCCCCACCCGATCCGTATAAATTACGTTAAGAGCGGGTAATCTGCTCCCAAATAGCTTATTCTTTTCTTCAGCTATTCAGGAGCCAGTGAGGCCCGACGCTTAAAGGGCTACGCCTATATTCATAGAATCTGGGGTTACAGTACGTAACCAACGTTCTATGTCATATAGGCTTCGCCCTTTAAGGCTGTCGCTGATGGGTTAAGGGCGAAGCGGATGTGGTCCTCGCCTCACTGGGTCCATTCGAACCCAGTAAGAAGCGGAAGCTTGCCCAAAAAACGTCTTGCCACTCAGTTCCCCATGTGCATAATTACGCATCGCGTAATTGTGTGCCATGCACAGACGCATGTTGTGCAACTATGCGTTCTGACAGCATGAATGCCCCGGAAAAACTTTCAACGGGGAAGATATTGAAAAGAGGGGGGGGGGGGGGGGGGGCATGAAGCAACTGATTCATGATTGAACAGTATAAACAGATAATATCAATGAACTGATTATTGAACAAATGAACTGATTGGTAACAATAGTCATGAACTGATTAGTGACAATAGAACCGAATCACAGACACAACTTGTGGCTGATAACAACATCTCACACTGTAATGCATGCAGACAGATGTGAGCTTAAACAGAGTTCCATGAGAACAACAATATTCATTCTGTTAGAGCACTAAGGACAGAATGTGTCATGGAACGAGCCGTTACATCACGTAGGTAAAAGCGAATAAATGAGCAGGGTGATGACCATGCAGCCGCAGTGCAAATGTCCTGCATTGACATACCATTATGCAGAGCAGTCGAAGATGCGATACCCCTGGTTGAGTGTGCTTTGAGGTTGACAGGAGGCTCTAGATCTGATGCTCTGTAGGCTTCAGAAATGGCCTCACACAGCCAGTGTGACAGGCGCTGGGTGGATAACGGGCGGCCTGCGGATGCATCTCTATAATGCACAAACAAATGTTGAGTTTGACGCATTGCAGCTGTGCGCGCTATGTAACACGATAACGCCCGCACCGGACAGAGAAGATGAAAAGATGCTTCTTCTTCTGATCTGTGGGGGGGAGGGAAGAATCCCACCAACGATATCTGTCTCGATTTAAAAGAGCTCGTGATGCTTTTAGGCATAAAGGCTGGGTTTGGTCTTAAATCAGCTGAACTACCGTCAGCCTGGATTCTGAGACATGACGGAGCGGCAGAGAGGGCAGATAAATCACTCACTCTCTTAGCGGATGTTAAAGCCAGTAGCAGGGCTGTTTTAAGAGACAGGAATTTAAGTGAAACTTGATCCAGAGGCTCAAAAGGAGCTTTGATCAGGGCTCGCAGGACCAGCGTTAAATCCCACTGTGGAACGAGTGGGCGTGAAACCGGTCTATGTCTTTGTACACCTTTTAAAAACCGCTTCATCAGCGGGTGGTTAAAAGCTGTTCTGTCCCCGAACCCTTCGTGGCAGGAAGAGATGGCTGCAGCGTACGTTTTAATTGTGCTGAACGCCAACTTCCTATCCATCAGCTGTTGAAGAAAGGACAGCACGCCACCTAATGGACATGAGGTGGCCTCCAGACCTTTCTCTGTACACCAGCGTTGAAAAGCCGTCCACTTTGATGTGTACAGGGCTGTGGTAGATGCAGCACGTGAATCTTGAATTGTGCGCACTACCTCCTGAGGGAGACCCATCCTCTCTAAGCGGGACCGCTCAGCGGCCAGACCCACAGGTGCTGGCCTATTTCCGGGTAACTCCTGATCGCTCCTCCTGCTTGAAGGAGAGCATCTTCCCTCCATGGCAGTTTCCACGGGCGACCTGACAACAGACGCTGCAGGACCGGGAACCATGGTGCGTTCACGCGCTCGGGAGCTACCAGGAGAGCTGTCAGTCCCTCCTCCTGAACTCGGTTCAGGAACCGTAAAATCAGAGGAGGAGGAGGGAACGCGTACAGAAGCGTTTTGGGCCACGGGCTGTGGGCAAATGCATCCACCCCCAGCGGTGGATCGTCTCGAGGGCTCAGGGAAAACCATAACTGGCACTGAGCGTTCTCTCGCGTCGCAAACAGGTCCACAGCTGCTTTGCCAAACTTCTGCCACGTCTGAAACATCAGGTCTGGATGGAGGGTCCAGTCCGCGTGACGTGGACCGCCCCTGGACATCACGTCTGCTCCTCTGTTCAGAACGCCGGGTATGTAAACCGCTCTGATGGAAAGCAGATTTTGGTGAGCCCAACACAGTAGCTTCCGCGCAATGTGTAACATCTGGGCTGAACGCACACCCCCCTGGCGGTTTATGTACGCAGCAGTCATCATGTTGTCTGTGTGAATCAACACGTGTTGATTCTGTAGCACGGGAGCAAAATGCTGAATCACATTCAGCACTGTGCGACACTTCAAAACATTGATGTGGGCTGATGTGCGGTGGGGCCACAGCGCCCCTACTGCTTGAGATAGGCATGTCCCCCCCCAACCTGACAGAGACGCGCCCGTGAAGACTGATACGTGTGTCGAGGGTTTGCTGACGGGGACTCCCTCTGACAGAGCCAGGGTGTTTCCCCAGTGTCGGAGGTCTGCTCTCACGGAGGGAGGGACAGTGATCATCCGTCTCTTTTGTTTTACTGGATCCACACGCAGGCGCGTAAACCACCTCTGGAGGCGCCTCATGTGTAACAAACCCAGCGGGACCACTGTGTGAGCTGATGACATCATTCCCAACAGCTTCATGACGGAGACAGCTGTTACCACTTTGCCAGGTCTTACGTGGCGTAATTGGTTTTTTAGAGTGTCGATTCTTGTTTGTGATAAGCGAGCCGTCATGGTAATTGAATTTAATTCCACTCCCAGATAAACAATTGTCTGGGCCGGGAAAATCGAGCTTTTCTTCCAATTTATGGCGAAGCCCAGATTTAGCAGGTGTGATGCCAACACCTGAGCCTGTATCAATGCTTCCTGTCTGGAGTGAGACAGGAGCAGCAGGTCGTCCAGGTAAAACAAAACTCTCATCCCTGCTCTGTGCAGTGGATGCAGGGCTGTCTCCACACACTTTGAGAACGTACGAGGTGCGAGGGAGTACCCGAAAGGCAGCCTGTTGTACTGGTACTTCATCCCTTGAAAGGCGAAACGCAGAAATTTTCTGTGTTTTGGGATGATTGGTATGTGAAAATAAGCATCTTTTAGATCGATGGAAACAAACCAGTCGTTTTTCTGGATGTTGTCCAACAGCTGTCTGTTCGTCAACATGTGAAAAGGTCTGTTCATGATCGCTTTGTTGAAAGCTGACAGATCCAGAATCGGTCTCATCCCTCCGGTCCTTTTGGGGACCAGGAAGTAGCGTGAGTAAAACCCTGTGTTTTCCTCCTCGTTGGGAACTCTTGAGATTACACCTTTTATCAGAAGCTCCTGGACTTCTGCATTTAAGGCTGAGACTTGGTCTGGTGATGATAGGACCGTCTCTATAACTCCTCCGAACGGAGGGGGTCGGGTT